TTGCTATCGGTTTTAACGGAATGGTCATTTTGTCCGTTGGTGGAATTCCCACCGCGTTTTTTTTTCTATATTTCAGAACCATTAAGCAAGAATAAAAAACGCGACAGCATCTTCACGATGGGATGAAAGAAGGATACCGACTTCAATATACAGGGTGACTTCGAAGTTGAGTCATTTATTTTAACAGTGAGTAGATCTGATCAAAAGAAATGTTTTTTCCTTTAACATTTTTCTGGTAAAATTAAATTAACAAAGTTATAGTCCTTTAGAAGTTTGAGTACCGCCCTGTCTCAATAATAATGCTCGTGTTTGGCGACAACGGATATAATCCGCCTGACCGGTTCATCGCATCGGAAACAAAAAAGCGAAAGAATTTGAAACGTTTATCACGATGTTTTTCGTCAGTCGGTAACGCGTGAGTGAATAGTGGTGTTTGTTGCGTGGGGCTCAAACGAAATAAAAAATGGCACATGTTTACGAAAATGCTGAACTTGTGGACATGATTCTTATTTACGGGGGGGGAGTCTTTACAAAATGCTGCCGCGGCATCACGGATTTGTGCGAATCGGTTCCCCAATCGAGTGCAACCAACCCCTCGTGCCTTTGTTAATGTAGTACAAAGGGCTCGCGAATCAGGTGACTTAAGACCTCACAGGGGAGGGCATGCCGGTTCTCCAAGACCGCACGATCAAGTACAGGTCCGCACTGAAATACTTGTCGGGAGGATACTTTATAAAACAAGGTAACATTTTTTTTTAATTTTTTTTAATTTTTACACACATATTTTGGTTTATCTTCCTTCTGCAATCATTATCTGAAAATTAATGACTCAACTTCAAAGTCAAAGTATAAAAAAGTATGATTATAGGAAACTGTAAGATATGAGATTGTCAAAATTAAGAACACATTGATGATCATTAAATACTTTACACTGTGCAAAAGTTGAAGAGTGTTTTTTAAAGTACTTCCACACATCACTTTTTCGTGGCATTTCGATTAATTAACAATAAAACAGCGACACTACAACTACAATAAAATAATCAAAATAACCTGAAATCAATAAATGCGTAAATGCGCTGTTTTCAGTTTATTTTATTATATCCCTTGGAGAAGTACAGAATAAAGAAAAGACAACCATTTCACGTCGGTAATGGGCTTTCAATTTAGAAGCTCCCAGTCCTCGCTTAGAGATGGTAGCACAGTTATCGTCGTAAAACCATCGATGCCTAAACATCGATGATCTACGTCCGATGTATCGATGTTTTCGATACATCGATGTATCGTTGCCATCCCTACTAGTAAATCAGTCAAGTGGCAATCACCGATGAATCAACGTGATATACTCCAGTCGACATAAATATAAATTTGTCATACATGAGTTACAAGGTAGTTATTACCCAACTAACAATTATCACTCCTATTAGAGTTGCAAGAATGATTAAACAGTATTCCTTAACCAGCATTGTATACTGTAAGAACATTGGAAAAACCCTCTTAGAACAGCTATACAAGCGGAATGGGCACACCTAGGGGGACACTTCAGTCATTTAAGAGGTTAAATAAGGGCTGGTGGTAACAGTTATAAAACAAAAGTGTAAGCCTCTTGCAGCCGCTGTAGGACATTTGCGTCAGTGCAAGATTCAGTTTTTGTCAACTAGACAACTATTCTGTTACGTGATTATAATTTATTGCAACCAAACTATTTCTTATGTATTGTATAGACGAAGTGAAGAATATATAACTAACACATTACAGTCATCTTGTTTACTTACATATCGGCCATTGTGAATTTCATACTCAGGTATATGATAAACTTCTACACTGTGATATAGAGCTATTGACTTACTTGCGCAGCAAATTTTATTGTGATTATCGTGCAAATTAGTTACCCAGTTTCTACGGGCTTCGTATTTGATTCATATTTTGACAATGATCAAAAGTATGACTAGATTTTTAAGATGGAAATCTGAACTTATCTGCGTTAAATCTTCCACAAATCCTATATTTAGACACAATTACACTAATGTTTATCACTTTATATCTGTAATTTCGAACTGAAACATAATTATTTAATATTAAATAGAGGAATAAATGTTTGCCCAATATGACGGGTGGTTGTGTACAATCATGGCATCGTCCATGTTGTCTTTAGGTTATTAGAATATTTTGGTCTTGCCTGCAGGTGTTATACAACAATTTGACAAATATCTGAAATGAAATACCGACAGAGTCGAATGATTTACCCAGAATTTGTACCAGATCTATATCTTCTGTTTGAACAGTTGATAAAACCTTTTGAACTAATATGCATGCGTTGTTTGTCTTAAAACATTGATTATGGCATTTTAGAATTTTACAAAAATATGACAGCAGAAAGTTAGGTTATGGTGAAGTTGTTTACCAACATATTTAGCATATGTACAGCCTTTAACAATTACTAAACAACAGTTGTATAAGTGCTTCCGTTGGGAGCAATTTGTTGGCTAAAGTAGTAAATTGCACATCAAGACAACAAGGCTCTGGTTTGTTTTATTAACGTTACCATGGATGCCACAACACAACCATTTTGAATAACGTGCAAATATGCCGTATAAAATAGTTGTATAAACGTTTATGCAACAGTTAAAAATTCGCCCTATAAGGTGTTATATAACTATGCTATAAGAATATTTTAAACACTTCATTTTAGAGCAAATATGTTTCAGAAAGCAAATCTGCATTCCACACAACATTAAGCCAGCATTTTTGTGTTCAGGCAACAACAATAGAGAGCTTTTATGGCTGAACGGTTCTTTTACCAAAAGCTTATACCACTACTTTGCTAGTTGGGTAATTATTGAAAAGGTAATAGATTAGATTTTGAAGAGCAAACACGGTGTTACCGTTACAACAATTAGAATTCCAATGTGACTTTTCGACTTGTGTCCTTAATTTTTTGGATTTTGATGCCAAAAATGTATAATGTCATACATTGGCATTGCCAGACTTTAGTTATTTAAAAAATATATTTCCTTAATAGGCCTTGAAATTGAGATTGTCATTTATTTCATTATATCATCAGCCAAGCATTCCTTATAAATATGTAAACTGTCCATATTTCCGGTTTTAATGTGATATTGTACAGATCATGACATAAATTAATCTTATAAAACATCAAATCTTTAAAAAAGTAATATTCCTACAGTTGGCCCTAACTCATCGAACAAAGAACGCTAATACTAAAACTTTTTAATATACTAAGTGACATATAAATCCGAACACCCAGTTTAAATGGTTTTACTTTAATAAAATTTAATTTAAAAAGTACTTAATGAAGCATAATAAGTAAATGATAAAAATTTCAAAATGATTGCACTGCTTTAAAGCCCTTTGACCTTTAATAATGTGTGGATGCACCCTGATGTGCTACGCATTCTCCAACGCGCCTAGGCATGCTCCTGATCAGGTGGTCAATGTCCTCCTGTGGTATCTCATTCCTGGCAACCACCAACTCCTCTCGAAGTGATTCTAGAGTCTGAGGAGGACGTTGCAAATTGAGCAATCTCCTACCCATCATATCCCACACGTGCTCAATTGGGGATAAGTCGGGAGATCTTGGTGGCCATGGTAACAATGTGACATCATTATGTTGAAAGAAGTCTATTGTGACTCTTGCAACATGTGGTCGGGCATTATCTTGTTGGAAAGTTGGATCTGCCAGGGTGTCAAGATAGGGTAAAAGATGGGGTTCTAGAACTTCGTGGATATAACGCTGCGCGTTCATGTTACCTCTGATGAAGATTAAAGGTGACCTGGAACCATAAGCTATAGCACCCCAAACCATAACTCCAACAGTGTGATGAACATGTCTTTCAACAAAAAACTGTGGATTCCTCCTTTCACCACGTCGCCTTCTAACCCTGGCACGACCATCGTGCATGCCTAAACAAAATCGAGACTCGTCACTAAAGACAGTACTGTTTGTTCCATTCCTGATCCCAGAGTGACCGTTGTCTGCACCACTCAAGGCGATTACGTCGGTGTTCTCGAGTTAAAGGGAGGACCCAGTGTGGCCGGTATGAAAACAAGCCAAAACTTCTCATTTGTCGGTAAACACTTCGCATGCCAATAGGTCTTCCGTGTTCTGCAAACCATTCATTTGCAATGGACCTGGTAGTGGAGAAACGGTCCCTTAAGGCCGATAATCTTAGGCGGCGATCTTCACGGGCTGTTGTTCTACGGCGGCGTCTAGTGCCCCTTGCTCTTTGCGTACGGCCTTCTCGAAGCCATGCCTGACAACACCTAACCACAGTGTTTACACTTCTTTGCACTCTAACTGCAATTGCCCGAAAAGAAAGTCCAGCTTCCCGAAGTCCCACTATACGGCCCCTATCAAACTCACTAAGTTGACGAAATCGTACAGGTCTCCGTACTCTAGGCATCGTAACCGATCAAGAACCAAAATCCGCCAACGTTGATTCTTTACTGCGGCTGAAATATTCATTTTTAGAGCGTCAGTGAATTAAAAAAAAGCAGTATAAAAACCGGAATATCCAACTGATAAGGCTGAAAATTTTTTCACTTGTTATTTACAGTAAGATAAATACATTCACCAACTTTTATTAAAATAAAACCATTTAAACTGGGTGTTCGGATTTATATGTCACTTAGTATACTATTTAAGCTCGTACTAAAAACCTTGAAAATAGTATTATTTCATGTAACTGATACAAACATTGTAGTGCAAATAAGTCATCTTATAGAGGAGAAAAAGTGGTAATGTTCAAATACCTTCTTTTTAATTTTTAGGAAAATTCAGTTTTTTTCGTCTATTCCCGGAACTACTTGGAAATGCGAAGCTTTCTTACTGATCCAAATAAGAAATTTTGTGCTTAATTAATCGACTCTCTTACCGTTTCCGAGATTCTAATGGTATTTTCTTTTCAAGTATTTATAAAAATGACAATGTTTAAAGTCTGGAAATAAACGGCGACTTTATATAAGTTCATGCATATACTCACCTCCCCCGTTCTGGTAACAAATGTAAGGAAACCTCCACACGTTACCCAAGTCAACCGCAAATCCAATGACTGCAAGCAAGAACTCCACCTTCTTGTCCCATGTTTCTCTTCTCCTTTCAGGTGTTAATGCCACAACCACCACCCTGGTGCAATCTTTCTGGTTCTTTTGGTGACTTGCTGAAACGAAAAATATCCTCTCAAGAATCGTTACTGAAATACTGTGTTTCTTTTTGTAATCTTATATCAAACGGAATATAAAAATGCTTTTCAAAATTCATGTAGGTTTAGTGATGACACCTACCTTTCCCATTTTTGCTTTTACTGTTGGTGAGTAACTTCCTTGCCGAATCTGGGGTATTCTCTTGGTTTGCGGCGACATCGTAGCTCTTTCCATTTCTCTCTTCGGACTCTGAATCGGCCGGTTCGGATGCCGCCATTTTTGCGCCAACCGGAGTCGGATGGATGGCTGCAACAAAAAGAAATATTAAAAAACGGGGTGGTGTAGCTCGATTTGACATGGCTTTTTATTCTAACATAACCTGTTAGAGTTGTGTACATCAAGATGCTGTAGAACAACGTACGGGACGAGGACTATCCCAGATAAGCAGTTCAAAATCGCATCAACAGCGTTTAACTTCTTCATAGCATTAGCAGTACCTCAGTATTTAGGTGACGCCTTTACGGCTGCTCCAGAGTAAAAAAAGGTTACAATGGCCAGAATTTTAATCCAAGAGCTTAAGGCGGCTCCGACGCAGTGAGTTTCAAGCCATTTACAAGGGTTCAGCTGCTTCGAAACTGACACTCCATTTTTCAATACTGTTGAATGAAATTCATACGCTATGTTCAGAAGGTAATTGCCCAGGGTGCTATAGGAGCAGTTTTCGAAATTTGGTTTTTGCACAAGTTTTATGATGGGTTGAAGCGCGCACTTTTTCTGTTCAAATTCGCGATTTTTCAAAAAGAATCTAGTGAAAAAAATGAAAAAGTGACTCTATAGCACCCTGTGGGGTTTTGGCATCAGCTCACTAGGAAAATTTCATTCAAGAATATCAAAAAATAAAGCGTCAATTTTGAAGCGCGCAAACCTCTACAAATCGTATTTTGGACGAATTTTGTCGACTGCTTCGTGCTGCTAACCTAAGCGTTGCGGCGCAATGTACGGACTAAGAAAGGACGTATTCAGATAATTTAGTGGCCCTAAGGTGCTATCAGAGCTTTTTACAAAATTTTGAGTAAAGTGCAAGAATTATGGTGGGTTGAAATGCTTACTATGTGTGCGCAACTTCTTGTTATTTTAAAAAGATCCTAGTGAATAAAATCGAAAAATTGGATCGTTAGCACTCTGTGGACTTTGTTTTTATCACGCTGCAGGATTTTAATTTGAAAATAATAAAAAATGAAACGTAAGCTGTGAAGTGCACATCGGTTTTTGGACGAAATTCGTCTACTATTTCGTCAGTCCAAGCCAGTCCAAGCGCGACGGTGCGTTCCGACTAAGAAAAAATGTATTCAAATAATTTGATATCTTTAGTAAAATAAATTCAAGAGCTCAAATTCAAATTCGTTTATTCATGTCAATAAACACAATTATGTTTACAAGCGTCATGTGGTACATGGTAACAATTGCACGAGGGTCATAAAATTATCTTATGGTGTCAAAATAAGAGGAAACAGTTAGATAGTTTTTGCAAAGCAATAAAGAGGTAGGCTTATACCTGGATTAAGTACATTTCTTGTCTACTGTAATAGTTAGATGGAGGCGATGCTGCCAGAAATGGATTTGTGCGATCAATAAACAAACCACAAGATTGAACTGCCGTGTCCAATGATTTTTGTGTTGCCTTACTAGAATACTCCGTTGGGAATATGATGGAGTTCACTATAACTTTACAGATTGTTGTCTGCCTTCTTTTACAATCTTCACCAAATCGAGATACCTTATCCTCCGATGAAGGCGCCACAAAGTACATTCCTGTGATTTGGTGACTTGTTCGATCTGCAAAATCTCGTCGTCACTTTTTTTTTCCCTAAAAATTCTTGCTTAGCAACCTCCATGTCATTCATGTCAGGTCTTTGACAGAATTCGCCATAAAACTATTAATTTTCTTTAAACTCACTGCATTCGTAATTAAAATGGTCGCATATGACCTTTTATTGTCCATTATCAACCTTCATAAAAAAGGCACTCAAGAACAGTCACACCAACAAGAGTACAGCACAACAATTCAACAACACAATATCGACGAACAGTAACAAGGGGAGAAAAATACTAAATGATCACTTGCTTAGTACCAAAATAGGAAACGATTTACAGGCTAGATCGCTAATCGAAATCCGACCCTGTTATTATAAAAATTTACCTTGGTATGCACCCGCAGTCATCGTTTCCTCTTTTAAAGTAGCGCCGACAACCGTCTTAGGGCCAGTACACCGTCGATTCCTTTTCACCCCCCCGTTACCTCAGCAGATGGTGCTCGTGATTGTAGGAGCCCCGTTAAGCAATCACAGCTCTAATCACACTGACTTTCCCACCATTTTTCAAGCCAACGTTATATACGAACATCCACCATCTTTAGCAATAATGGATTTACTAGCACTGCCAAATGTTTACTTCCCACGCCTACTGACGAAGTATTGTGATCGCGTAAAATTGCGAAAATGAGATATTGTGTTTTTTGAATCTTATATGGCATGTACATCACGAAAAGCCGTGTCACTGATTTCCCTCAGTCGGTCTGTCCATCTGTCTGCTGGTCCGTCTGTTCGCTAATCCTTGGCTCGTCTATAAAGAAAAGGCCTTGTAGTGAACTGACATTTTTTGAAGTTTCTGATGCTCCTGATCATTTTTAGGAAAAAATTTGGAGGGGTTAAAAATTGAGGGTTGAGGTTGCAGGCGGTTTCACAAAACGTATGCAACCAACATCGCGTGTAGTTGAGCCATTCCTCCATAGATGGACGCTCACAACGATCCTAGTGAGCAGACGTCGAATGACTGTTTGCACCCTAAAAGCTACCTAGTGTGCAAGATGACATTTTATAGGTTTTTTTGACGTTGTATAGGTTTTTTACATAATACCCGTGCGGGTAATCCACACGCCTCAAAACTTGGAATGATAGAGAATTGTTCTCGATACGCGACTCTGCTCTCGCTCTCTGGACTCACAGGCGGGGGTGTCGGCGTGTCGGACTCGATAAGTGTCCCAACATTACTGCCGTTGTAGTGTTCTACCGCATATAATGCATCGTTTGCTTGATCTAAAATAATCTTCTGTGAACTGACAACAGCGCTACGTGGGAAGTGCACAGTTAACCTAATTGACGCCATTTTACTTCCTACACTACTGGGCGTAACTATATTTATATGCTTCCAACCTCGTGAATTCTATGCACCTATTAGCCGTTCGTGTGTCTTTAAAACTTAAAATGATAGAGAAATATCTTCGGTGCCGCGTCTGACGATAAGGGACTGAGCAATGTTGCCAGATGGACGATAACTTCTGATGGGCAGGGAAAGAATGTCTGTGGACTAATTGTATGAGACTGTTTGACTAACTCGGTCAATTTAATTTCTCTATTGTACTTGTTCCTAATAATAATTTTCTCGGAGGCTTTAACTTGAGCTGAAATTACTGGCTTATGAACCGATGACGGCGTCGCATAGGTCGTGCAGTCAATCTAATTGACGCTATTTTTTTAATTATTTGCGAACCACGAAAACTTCTTTCATTGCTACTGTCAATTGGTGTTTTTGTAGCAAATGTAGCAATGAGCCGTTTTGAACCGCGGTGATTCTAGCAACAACGGCCACCCAGCAACAAACGGTAGTCCCTCTTCTCACCAGCGGCCGCGTCGCGCTGGACAACGATCGCGCGTCGCAACAGCAGCGAAGCCGGCGCAGCGTAAGCAGGCGGTGCGGCACCGTCTTCCCATGTAAAAAGCTGTTATAGTATCTACACATAATTATATACATTGTGTGTTGTCAGTGTTATCACACTATCTATTACATCTCGTGGCCGGGGCATATTAAGCCTATCAGTGGGAGCAAAACTTATCTATACGAAACGCACATGGAAATTTGAAAATTAAAATTCTCACTTTTTCTTCAAATCAACACCACTTTTTTTTCACGAAAATCAATGCTACAATGCATCCTTCATATGCGGGATCGATTACATTCCGTGGCCGGGGCATATGAAGCCTACCAGAGGGAGCCAAAGTTACCTATACGAAACGCATATGGAAATTTGAAAATTAAAATTCTCAATTTTTCTTCAAATCAACACCACTTTTTTTTTTTCACGAAAATTAATGCTACAATACATCCTTCATATCCGGGATCGATTACATCTCGTGGCCGGGGCATATTAAGCCTACCAGAGGGAGCGAAATTTACCTATACGAAACGCACATGGAAATTTGAAAAGTAAAATTCTCAATTTTTCTTTAAATCAACACCACTTTTTTTTCACGAATATCAATGCTACAATGCATCCTTCATCTCCGGGATCGATTACATCTTGTGGCCGGAGCATATTAAGCCTACCAGAGGGAGCCAAAGGTAACCTATACGAAACGCACATGGAAACTTGAAAATTAAAATTCTCAATTTTTCTTCAAATCAACACCACTTTTTTTCACGAAAAGCAATGCTACAATGCATCCTTCATATCCGGGATCGATTAGATCTCGTGGCCGGAGCATATTAAGCCTACCAGAGGGAGAGAAAGTTAGATACCTATACGAAACGCACATGGAAATTTGAAAATAGGGTTTGTACCGTTGTTTGGCGGAAGAATCTTTACAATCAGGGTCTCTAGTCAGGTTTTTTGGGAATACAGACGATATCACATCACATATATTTTTATTGATATTTCAGTATCTTGAAAAACAAGTTTTATTATTTTAGAGATGACTCCCCAGTTCTTCCTGTCCAGACCGCTTGCAACTCTGGGGAAGGCCACTTTTTTACATTGTATATGATCACATACTCGCGTACGCGACGCAATGCCAAAAATATAGTTCGATAAGTGGGCTTTCCCCAAAAATGTTTTTTGTTACCAGGTAGAACAACAATCTACCCTCACGTTTGAGGACGCCGACTCCTCCCGAAGCTAGATGTTGGGCCCGAAGCTCCTCCAGGCCGCCGTATTTTGGCCTGAAATTGTGAGCTTTACCATCATAAACATTCTTATCTTGTTTATCTATACTATACCTAAATATTTTAGCGATGCCTCGTGACATTTTCAGATCTTGAGAAACACAATGTCCCAACGAGCAATCTAGTGGAGCAGTGAATAAATCTACTCTAACTTCCTTATATTCTGCCCACCACATCCCACTCCCCATCGCTGTACTTTTGGGGTCTGTAACTTCGATTCCTGCATATTATTATGTAGTATATAATAAACATTCTAAAGCGAACGCCAGCTTCTGAGACCGGCAGAGCTGGATGTGTATCGTTTATTTTGCCGGTATTTTCAAGGTACAGACCTTAAATAGTGTTGTGATGCTCTATTTGCTTGATTCTTTTATATTAACAATAAGGATTTATTACAGATATTCCAAGTGTTCCGATTATACAACGATAACTTTGCATGAGAGCGCACGCGATGGTTGACGCATCTGCAATCGAAGCATATTATTACACCTTGAGATATACATGTCTATACCCTGGTACCGAAAAGGAAGAGAACCTGCAGTAGCGTGCAATGTGTTTTTCTGCTGTTCCTTTTCCGTACCCGAATATAAAATAATGAGGTGTTGTTGATTTGAACAAAAATTGAGAATTTTAATTTTCAAGTTTCCATGTGCGTCTCGAATAGGTACTTTCGCTCCCTCTGGTAGGCTTAATATACCCCGGCCACGAGATCTAATCGATCCCGAATATGAAGGATGCATTGTAGCATTGATTTTCGTGAAAAAAAGTGGTGTTGATTTGAAGAAAAATTGAGAATTTTAATTTTCAAATTTCCATGTGCGTTTCGTGTAGGTAACTTTCGCTCCCTCTGGTAGGCTTAATATGCTGCGGCCACGAGATCTAATCGATCCCGGAAATGAAGGATGCATTGTAGCATTGATTTTCGTGAAAAAAAAGTGGTGTTGATTTAAAGAAAAATTGAGAATTTTAATTTTCAAGTTTCCATGTGCGTCTCGAATAGGTAACTTTCGCTCCCTCTGGTAGGCTTAATATACCCCGGCCACGAGATCTAATCGATCCCGAATATGAAGGATGCATTGTAGCATTGATTTTCGTGAAAAAAAAGTGGTGTTGATTTGAAGAAAAATTGAGAATTTCAATTTTCAAATTTCCATGAGCGTTTCGTATAGGTAACTTTCGCTCCCTCTGGTAGGCTTAATATGCCCCGGCCACGGAATGTAATCGATACCAGATATGAAGGATGCATTGTTGCATTGATTTTCGTGGAAAAAAAGTGGTGTTGATTTGAAGAAAAATTGAGAATTTCAATTTTCAAATTTCCATGAGCGTTTCGTATAGGTAACTTTCGCTCCCTCTGGTAGGCTTAATATGCCCCGGCCACGGAATGTAATCGATCCCAGATATGAAGGATGCATTGTATCATTGATTTTCGTGAAAAAAAGTGGTGTTGATTTGAAGAAAAATTGAGAATTTTAATTTTCAAATTTCCATGTGCGTTTGGTTGTCCAGCGCGACGCGGCCGCTGGTGAGAAGAGGGACTACCGTTTGTTGCTGGGTGGCCGTTGTTGCTAGAATCATCGAGGTCCGTTTTGATGACTCTGGAGAACATCAATAAATCCTATGTTGTTTTTTATACAACCGTTTTGGTATGAAACCTATCAAAGCGTTCAGGTAACAGTAACTTACTGCAAGTCGCAAAAAAACAACTAAGGAACTGTCACTTACAACTCGTCTATGTGTTGACCAAATATAGCCTTGCTCCGAATAACACATTGGTGACTTCATGCAGAGGCAGCGACAGCAGTTGGTAACACAAATGAAATTAACCAGAGATAAAACTCCCAAAAGACTCCATAGCATCGATAATGGATGTTTAATCTACAAAAAATGACAGGGTTTGGTACCTAATACACTGCGAAGGTCGACAATTATCACACATTTTATTAGGATACACTCTAATCGATTTGGGGGCATCACGCGAACATAGGCTACGGGGCTCTTTGAATTGACGAAATATACACAGTGTATGTACTTATTTAAAAAAATCTCAATCTGACAGTTGTGATTGAAAAGGACTGCAGGTGCCGTACTAGATTTAACCGATAACAATGTTAGAGCCTGGGAGCAACAGATTATCACATCATTAGTTCTTCTTGACTTCTCTAAGGCATTCTATACCATAAATCATCGTCTTCTAGTAGCCAAGTGTAAATATTACACTTTTTCTAATTCTTCCTCCAACATGATTCAGCACTTAGGGAATCGATATCAAAGTGCCTCAAGGGTCCATACTTGAGCCACTCCTATTCATTCTTTGAAATTGAAAGTCATTTAATTTATCTTCTATTTCTCGACTCAATATCTCTCACACGTCTCCAAGAAAATTCAAGTTGTTGGTTGATCTTTAATGTAAACAATACGATCATATCAGCTCTTTTTTCGAAGACATGGAGTGGTTGGGGGTAAAAAAACTGTGAGCTACACTGACACCCATATACTTTAGTTCCGATCCATTAAAATAAGCTCATATGTAGAAGCAATATGCATCCTAGGGACATTCGATTCTAGGAAACACTGTCAATGCCCCTTTACAGGACATCATTCTTTCGTAAATGCTCCTCCTACAACACAGTTATTTTTTACAATGATATACCTTGACCCACAAAACTACTATCATATGACGAATTTGAAAGACATATTAAAAAAATTATCTTGAATAGAAATACCAGTTGTTAAAATTCATCTATCACCTCATACACATATTCCAATATAACATAAAATTCTTTTGTTTGTTTAACTGTTCTGGTATTCCAGAAAACTGCCGAAATGGTTTCCAAGGATTGCAAAAAGCATCTTAAACTGAATAAAAGCATAATCTTTATCGGTAGGTGTTGATATAGAATAGACATCAGCGTGACGAAAGGACGTGTTCCTTTTTATGATTTAACCACGACTAAGGATTAAGGCCAAAACACCCGTAGATACCGTGGGGCTATAGGAGGATACAATGGGAAGGAGAAGACGTCACACATATGGACAATCACATCATCCAGAGTCAAGAAAAAAATTCTCTTGGGCGGGATTTGTTCCCGCGTAGCTCACTGATTAGTAGATGCTTAGCGTCTACAACTACGCTACCGCCTCTGTAACTTAACGTTAGACTTTTACCTGGACACTTGTGGATAGTATTCATTTTTCCTCTCAGTTGTTTCTTTGACTGCCAAATCTCAATCTAAGGTTTCGTACCTAACACAGCATTGGAAAATGAATACTAATAAGGGTCCACTGGACCTTCAACTTTTAGTCTTACCTACTTTCAATTTGGAATCTAAAGGTTCTTAGAAAAGCTACCTACTTTCGAGCTTACTCATCTTAACGCCACAAGATTTTTGTTAAGGAACCTCGACAGTTTCCAGAAAATCCCCCCCCCCTTCCCACTTCAGTTGGCCCACTTCAAGATTTGTACCAAAATATGCCTTTATAAACCAAACATGACGAAACTATTTACCTCTAAAACAATTTATTTTCTTAAAAACACTTTAGATACCTTCTAGTCGTAAAAAATACATATTTGAAATCACTTAGACTTAGACCTATAACTAATAGAACATCTGAACAAATAAACCATGTGCGAATAAATGCGCGAAGTTAACAAAGCAACAATTGAAAGATTACCATTGGGTAACATCACCTTTATTTTTTATTACGGCTGAAATTCTTTGGGGCATAGTGTTAACCAAATTTTGGCAAAAAAAAACAATCCCATATTTCTTGAAGCTTTTGTCTCAGTTCGGTGATTGTACGAGCAGGATGTTGTCGTAGAACCTTTTTCATCTCGTGCCACAAAGTTTCAATAGGTGACAGATCTGGACTGCTAGAAACCCATTTCAAAAGTGGTACATTATTTTCTTCCATTTTATAGCCTTTTTTGAGGTATGGCACGCTGCACCATCTTGCTGAAACAAAAAATCTTGGCCGGATGTCAAACATTCTTCCATCACTGGTAAAAACGAATCATCTAAAATTGCCAAATATTGGTTTGTATCCATATTTCCATCAATAAAATAAAGTTTTCCTACTCCTTTTGATGACATACTGCCCCAGACCATAATGGATGCTGGAAATTTCACTTTTCTCTTCAGACAGTCAACATGGAATGCTTCATTTTTTTGCGAATAACGCTACTGCGACTGTCACCAACACAAACTTCGAATCGGGCCTCATCACTCCATTGTATTGCACACCATTGTTGAGGTGTCCATTGTCTATGTTCTTTAGTCCATCTAAGCCGATTTTTCTTTTGCAGTGGAGTTAATGGTGGCTTTTCTTTGGCCTATAAACAAGTTGTGCAACATTAGGGTTTTTACTTCACTTTTTTTTATAAGAAAACTTACCTTGTAAGTGCTAAATCCCAGTTTGTGGGCCTCTCTATGAGTAGTGGACCTCGAAATTCTCCTTCCAACAGCGCCACTCCACAGAGCACTTAATTGTAAATAATTGGCACGCCTGTTTTTCACGATTATTCTTCTTAATGCTCTTCGGTCGGCATTTGTGATATTACTTTTTTTCACATATCGTGGCTTAATATTAACTGAACCAGTTACGTTATATCTTCTAACAATAATTCTCACACTGTACCGCGATAAGTCTAACAAAGTTGCAATTTCTGAGTTTGATTTCCCAGAATGTAAAAATTTAAATATCAGTAACCGAATTTTCTCACTAATAAGCTTTCTTCTACCCATTTTGAAAACCACTACCCAAAACTATTTTAAACGTATTCTGACAGCTGTGATTAATAAAAACAATTGTCATGGCTTTTATTTTCCACAGCCACCTATGCGTTATACACTTATTTTGCATTGAAATGAAAATAGGTTGATATGCTGTAATTGCAACATGTGTTATTTTTATGCTGCAAATTTGATTAGGGAGTGATAAAGTTGGTGTTTTCTAATATATATTTTCCAAATTCCATTCGTTGTTAATATTTTAAACCTATAACAGCCTGCTACATTTTTATTATTTGTGTTTTATAAGAAAAAAACTAAGATTTCAATAGTTGGGCCAACTGAAGTGGGAAGGAGCTTGTATAAGAAACATACTGATTGCTGGAGTTTTTCTATGATTCTTTGGTGACTAATCTTATAGAAGTCCTTTGACAAATCCATATAGACCACATCCATCTGACCCCTATTATCTAAGACCTCTGCAATCTCCTGGGTCACATGTACAAAAGATGAATAAAGGCGTTATTATTATTATTATTATTATTATTATTATTATTTTAGTTAAGTTAAAAATAGTGAGCGATTGCACATAAATCCATCTTGCGTCTCAGATATCAGATGCGAGGTCAAAGGATAGATTTAGTTGTATACAGATATCTCAAATGCCTTACCAAAATTATCCAATATAGATTATCTAAATTAATTTGTTAATAAGCATAACCGCAGGTATTGGAGCACTGAAAATCCTCATGCTTTTGTAGGTCATACCCGGTACACCAAAAAATTATTAATGTATGGGCAGGCATTTTAGGAAGCAAAGTGATTGGGCCATTGTTCATTGATGGAAATTTAAATGGAGACATTAATTTGGATATGTTGGAAAATACCATCAATTCGCTTATCACTGAAACCATTGAGACTTGATGAGGCTAAAATATATTTCCAGTAAGACGGCGCTCCTCCTCACTGTGTTCTTCCGGTTCGGCAATGGCTAGACGACGAGTTTCCAGATAAATGGATAGATCGAAGAGGGCCTATGGAATGACCTGCTAGATCTCCTGATTTGACGCCATTAGACTTTTTTCTATGGGGCCATTTAAAACCTATTGTGTTTATTCCCCGGCCTGAAAGTTTGGATGAACTTCGTTAACGCATCATCGAAAGCTGCCATGATATCCCACAAAATGTTTTTGAAAATATCCGTCAGGAATTTGAACATCGCCTATATCATTGTTTGGCCAATAACGGGCAACGTTTTGAACACTTATTGAAATAAAAAATTATATTTTCATGAGTTTTTGTTTTCTATCTGAACAAATTGAGATCTATAAAGATTTTTATAATTTTCTCGAAAACGAATGGACCCATTTTAAAAAATCGAACGTCAAAATAAAGGACTTTGAAAGTCCTTTCAAATAAGCTATTACTCGATATCCCTTGTCATTTAAAGTTTTTAAGGGCATGACCCTGGGGGGCAAAGGAGCTGAAGTAGTTTTTTGATTAAAAAGTTGTCCCCCTTGACAAATTTTTTGACGTGTCTCGCCGTTTTTTATTTTAATCAGTAGTTTTCAATAAATGTGTGGTGGGAACTTTTCAAATGAATACCCTTTCCAGTGATAGATTTTGTGGTAGACTCACCGAACGACGAGGTACGACCCAGCAGATGTCTCCTGTGTGCTTATCACAAATCAAAGACATATTCTGGGACACCATGTATACGTGAGGCCCCATTAAATTTGTCCATGCGAATGATGTAATAGGCCTACATGCCATAATGACTAATCGACGAATATCGGCGATAGGCTTTTACGGGCTAATATAATAAATAAATAATCATAAAACTTTTGCCACGCAATATTTTATCCCTGATGTCTGAGTCTGACCCATTTCTAGCTGATGCACTAAATATCCTAGAGCGATTATTTGCAGAGCTAATCAATTTTTACATTACTTTTTTGAAGATACAGAGAATGTCCTACTCAGTGGGTGTGCACCTTTATGTGTCGAAGCATCTGGATATGGACATTTGCATGACCGTACATGCAGATAAATTTTTCGATAGAGCATGACCTTTCTGTTAATTGCAATAATTATAATTCACAAATTGTAAACACGGACAGAGTACACACTCGTGATTTAAGTGCGGTTTAATCAAAATTGGACGATTGACTGCAGGGCGCATAGTTAATAAACTAGATTGTTCAACGTTGTTATTCATTTTTGCTATATCTAGTATACCGATAAATAAATCAGCAAGGACTTTTTTATATCAACGAGAAAATTGACTTTTCACAAAAATAAAGCGAGAATGTCAAAAGCTACCTTGACAAACCAGCTTATAGTGCCCTAAATTTTGTTGGCGTGTCTTAAAATTAAAAAAATACATAATATGCTATATGCTAAAAAGATCGAAAATTTCACTGTCGCCAAGGTTCCTAAATATCCTTCACATTAACAAAATCCAAAAGCCCTTTAATAATAATAATAATAAGAAAAATAATTTTAGAAGGCCTTTATTCACCTGGCGGATATTATATGTACATATTATAAATATATTAGCAGCTTTACGATATCAACCAGGAAAAGATGTAGAGATCTTTTGTATAAAATTACAATAAAATACTTGAACACGTCACAAAAATAAGAAATGGTCAAGTAGTTGAGGTATTGGACGCTAAGCAATGCAGGAACATCTAATTGTTCCAAATCAGGTACATCAGGAGAAATTAAAACAATAAATATTATCGATATTGTATCAATAACTGGAAACAAAGTCCTTGATTCTGTTGCTGAAAGATTGTAATGATGAAATCTTCAGACTAACGGATAGACTGTTTTGACCTTGGATTTGACCTTGACAATGACCTTCAAGGTCATTTGAAGGCCAAGTTCATTTTTTTAAGTTGTATTCTCCATTTTAAAACCCGTAAATGGAAAGAGCGGAAAATTTTACGTTCAATTATGGGCTTAAAAATTCTTAAAATTTGACCTAATGAGGTCATGGTCAAGGTCAAACCCAGTTACGGTGATATAACTTGAAAACCAGTATTCGTATAGGGAAACTAACGTGACATTATTTTCATGCTTTTCCCCGGATATTCAATGGTGACCTTGGATCTGACTCTGATCCCATTTGGACCTTCAAGCTTATGTGAAGGTCGAGTCGATTTTTGTAGCCAGAGCACGATCCTAAAAAATTAGTGACGTCAGCGTATCTAGGGAACACAGTTTTATGATTGATCAAGAAATTAAGATGTTTGACCTTGATGGTCAAGTCCAAGGTCATGCTCCAGAAATGGTCAAGGACATATTCTTAAATAAAGGTTTCCCTGTTCACCATAAACGCGGTCCCATTAAAAAAGAGTAAGCCTTCGAATGACCTTGAGGGTCATGACCAAGGTCATATCCGAGGACACCGTTGTATATTCGAAAAAAAATCATGAAAATGATGCTCCGGTAGTTT